AATTCTGCAGGAATTAGTAGTATTACTTGACGAGTCTCTTCAACCTCAAGTTTCCACTCAGGGTGAAAATGTAAATTGTGCTGTTGAGATACAACAGTCAATCAACTGCTTGGTTCCTAGAACGACAATATAGAATAACAGGATCAAAGTGCAAAGAAGTATGTCGATCTGCTTGGTGATAAATTGATTAGTCACAAAGGAAGCGAGTATACAGGGAAATATCTTGACTGGATTTCTAAAAACTTTTKGTCATCCAAATTTATACAGACAAAAGATATGAAATATGGGATAGAAGAAGAACCAAAAGCAAGAGTGGCCTATGCTAAAGCAACARGGAATCAAGTGAGAGAAACAGGATTGTGGGTGAACCAAAAATTTCCTTACCTTGGTGCTAGTCTATGGTGGCCCATCGCTGCCATAGGAAATTTTGCACAAAACTTGAAAAAATATTAATGATGAGTGAAAAATATTTTGAAATTAAAATGAAAATTAAATGAAATTAAATTTAAATTTAAATCAAATCAAATGAAAATCAAATTAAAACTAAAATAAAAATAAATCAAAAGCAAAAACAAATCAATTTGAAAAGCAAAATTATTCTAAAATCAAATTAAAATCAAATTAAAAATCCTATTGGCCCATCGCTGCCATTAGAAAAAATTTCAAAATCAAAATCAAAAATCCTTATGGCCCATCGCTGCCATAGACCGTGATGCTTTGCAAATCTATTTGTCCAAGAGAGACTGGTAAGGTGTTATTGGTTCGCACGTGCTCGATTACAGTACTAGTCAGAGCTTGGTAGAGTTGTGTAGTGTTAGAAAATATGTCAACGAAATGGAAAAAGTTCAGCGAACATATGAAGGCCAAAAGAGGGGGGAAGAAGATGGACAAAATAGACACGTTGTTAGTACAACGTTTGAGTGCAACTGTGTCCGGAAAAGCTCAAAAGTACACTCGCATAGGAGCGAGAGAATTTGTGGAGTTTGGGGAAGACGTGGAACTCACGATTGAAGGCATAAAAAAGGCTTGTTTAAAGCACTTTAGCCGTGAAATCTGTGAAAATAATACATAATGGTACATAATTTGGAATATTGACCATGCCATGGCCTTATGTCTTGGCGGAATATGCTTTTAACAGCATCAAAACTGCTCACTGGAAGTAATCCAGCAATGGTTATCATTTTTTTCAAGCACATTGGGGTTTGGTATTTTTCACATAGGACATACTATTACATACAAAGGTTGTACCTTATTCCAGCTATTGATCAAACATAGCTGGCAGAGTGTTGAGGGTGATTTTGTTGATCTTGGTAGGAATGGGAGATGTGACTCACCTGRCCATGATTTGTGCAAAATATAGAGCATACCACATGTTGTCACAGTACAGAATTGTACAGAATTTCACATGCTTTACTTGTGAATGAATTCATTTGTTTTGATTTNTGCTATAGTTTTCTATTCTATTTTCTCTAGCAAGTGTTTTGAAAATTTTTACTTGGCAGACACATTCTTGGGAAACTTGATATATGCACTCTAACCAAAAAGGTTTACAAATTTACAAAGCAAGTACTAACAATGACATTGACTTCATAATAAGACAGATAACAATAGCATTTAAATAATGATAATAATAAATAAGTTTAATCATACCCTTCGCATTTGTGGTCGATGATAATAAATTTAAAAATACCTAGACAATTCAACAGATATTGTAAAAGGATTTTATTGCAGCTCATATAAGAGTGAAAATTATACAAAGTTACAAGGTACGCAATAAATACTAGATGAAAAGAGAAGCATTAGACCATTGCAAGAATGACCTCTTTACCTTAGAAGTAGAGCCTCCTCTCAATACATGATAGAAGAAATGGTAATTCTACAGTTTGGTTAAATAACTCAGAAATAATCAAAGAAAATGAACATTATGACAATGAAGGACTACATTGAAATCACATTAAGTTAAAAACGTAATCAACATGCCTGTAGGCTGGCTTACAAATTTTCATAATGTGGATCTTAGCACAGGTATAAGCTAGATAGTGTGTAAGAACTGGCTGCTAGACAATGAGCAGTTCATAACAAAATAACCTCAAAAACAGTTCATAACGAAACACTTTTCCGTAAATCTCACCAGCATTATAATCGCTTTCCTCTTCTGCGAACAGATTTACGTTTTTTTCATCTGTCGAGAAAGCGACAGAAAAATAGAGCTATTTTTCCTCACTTTCTCGGCGATTGAATAGTATCGTATTCCGAACTCGATTCTTCTTCGTCCGAATGATGGAAACTGGCGGTAAACTAGTGCTGCAATAGGCTCATATTGGTATGGACGAACTTCACTGGTCGTTCTTCTTGAGATATTATTATTTAAAACCTTATACTGTACGTAAAAATCAAACGAAGAAACCAACAAACAGCTATGCCATCGCTATGCCACTGTTTGCTGAAACCACATCTCACCATCTGTGACGTAATCACTCGATTCCATTCCTCGCGCGGAAATATTGACGTTCTTCGGAGTAATTTCGGAAGTCCAAAAGTAATCGGTAAAAAATTGAGGTAAAACTTGAAGAAATTTGTTCAAAATGAAAATATAGCCTTCTCTTGACTTAAAGTTTCATTTGAAATCATAAAAATAGGGTTGATTTTTMCGTTGCATTTGACCTTTAAAGGGCAMCTAAACGGCCAAAATCGACCATTTTGAAGGGAAATTACATCAAATKGTCAATTCGAAAATTCACTTCKAAGARCTAGTTTTGCTTTTGTATTCGAGAATTTTGAGATTGAAATTCCCGCCTTGACCCTTTTGCGATCCGYCATTTTATGCGCCCGCAAAATGTCAGCGGACTCTTGCGTGACGTCATTGCGTGAAGCTTGTCAGACTGGTGTGTGAGTCCACTGTTGTGCTACTGAAAGTTCTGAGTTCTAAATTTACTGAACTTCTTGGATCTTGTAGGTTTTTTTTTTGAAATGGTGCACTGTTGTGTGCCCGAGTGTACGAACCATTCATCGAAAACTAGTTCTGTGAGCTATCACCGATTTCCCAAGGATTCGAGAAAATTTGGATTGCTCGACTGAGACGCGAGAATCTTCCCGCGTTGGCAAACTGCTTTGTGTGCAGTGATCATTTCCAAAAGGATTGCTTTGAATTAGATTTGAGAGAACAATTGACGGGAGAGAGAGGGCGAAGGCGGCTGAAGGGTGACGCGGTCCCAAGTATTTTTAATTTTTCTACGTCGAACCAACCCGCAAAAAGAAGATCAAACACTGAAGATCGCACAAGTCGTAAACAGAGGAAACAGGTAAGCAAGTTTATGCGTTCGATGATTTTTTGTTGTTGGACGCTTATTATGTTTCACATCTTTACAATGCATTCATAACTTGAAATTATAGTTCGTCACGTTTGAATWATGACTTTCATTGGAAAGGATAAATGCCGTAGCGTATACGATGAAAACTTTATACGAAGATATATTGTCAACAAGAATCTCTTTGGAATGCTAGCGATCTGACATGCTCGTTATTTCTCTTCGATTTCGTCAACAAATAAGTCTGAAAAT